AAAAAAAAGACCAAAAAAAACGTCATAAAAACGAAAGGAAAAACGACGGCGAGGACGAAGGCGAAGCGAGCAGAGAGCCGGGCGACGGGGAGATACCAGCCATCAATTCACCATGGCAGAGAGCAAGAAGGACGAGAAGGCGGCAGGCGAGCCGGGAGAGAAGAAGAAACGCGCCGAGCTGACGCCGTTTACGCGAGGCCTGATTCTTGGACGACGCATGGCGGGCGCATCTCTACGACAGATCTCCGCCGCGCTCGACATCCCGGTGTCTACGGTGCAGAATACCATCATGAAGGAGAGCTCGCGGGTCGATGGAGTGTCGAAGCCGCGCTCGGGAAGGCCCAAGAAGCTGTCTGACCGTGACGTCCGCATGCTCATCTCGCGCGTCCGCTCCAACCCAAGCATCTCGTACAGCGAGCTGGCCAGCGGAATGCCGGATAACATCTCAAAGTCAACTATATACCGAACCTTGAAGAAGCACGGCATAACGAACCGGCCTGTCAAGAAGAGCGCTAAGAATTAGGCGGTGTCTTCTCTCTGTCACCTACCTCGATGGAACGACAGTCGATGATGGCATCTCCCAAAGTCACAGGGGCTCATGTACCTGTCTGTTGGTTTCCGCCACTCCATTCCGTACCCTAGGCTAAAGACATAAACATCCTGCCAAGCTGATGGATGAAACTATCAGATGGATGGCTTGGGGTCGTTTTAGGCCTATTGAACAATGGAGTACCAGCAGAAGGCGTGTCCAGTGTGTTTTTTTTGGTGCCTACGTATATTTTATATGGCAGCCATCGGAGAAGCTCTGTTTAGACCGTCTTATTATGAAAGAGACTTACTTCGCTACTGCATGGGAGAACGATACGGAAAGCACGCCTGGGTTCCACAGTAAATACTGGAAAGCCCTACAGAGCGTATTCTGTCTATGTATATAACGTCATATGCATAGGATACCACTGCAGGAACAATGGACATGACTGCTGCGGCCTATTGAATCATCGACTTTTGGGTTAAACCCGTAAAATCCACTCCAAATACCCGGTGCCTACATAGTTTTCTGTCGATGTCGCCCTTCCGTGGCTACCTACGTCAACGACTCTGGCATAGAACCATATCAGGATCCATGGCTCCGGCTCACCCAACCCCTATAAAAAAGTCCCCTTCCTAGGGAGTTCATCTCAGCCCTCTTTCCTTCTCTTGTCAACTTCGAGTACCACAATCTCCCGCTCTGTTTCTGCTATCCAAAGATATAATACTGCCTCGTCGAACTGAACGCACTTACTCATTTAATGAGCGTTGATAAACAAGAAGACGAAGACCGCCAACAAGCCAGCAGCTCCTCCTCGATGGCGCCTCCTCCCCCTAAGAATAAAGACACCTCTCCATTAACGAAATGGGATCTTCAAAAGTCTCCGACCCCAGACATCAGTTCAGGACCATTTTTTCATGTAAGTGGAGCCCCCTTTCTCACGCCCTACTTTGAAAGGCAGACATGCTAACGCATCTCACAGTGGCGGTTGGGAGTAGCTGGTGAGCGTGCGAAAGAGTGGCATGTAAGTACCGCATCTCATCTGATAGCAAGTATGTGTTTCATATACCTAACCTTCGAGACACAGAAGTCAGACATGCGCACTATCCGCACCCTCAGTCACAGAGAAATCGACTACATCAGAAACATGCTACTGCGACTTATCAGGAAATTGTACCGCAAGGAGGACGCGGACATATCAGTCTCACGACTGATAGATCTCGCCGAGACTACCAGTTTCGACGAACTCAACGACTACCCCGTGCCAGTGCGATACTGGCAGTCCATCCGAGGAATCAGAGACGTAAGTGTCTCCCCTTGTGTCTTATATTACTACATACAGCTGGACTAACGGTTGCACTGTTTAGTACTACCGCTACGACGGTCAAAACCTACCCGAGCCTTCTGATACAGCTTGCCATTTCGCGTGGCATATGGCTCAGGAGAACAAGACCCATCTTCGTAGAAGATGGACCGAAGCTTTTGAACTTGCATACGGCTTCGCCATTGACGAGGTGGCTTCTCAAGGTAATCCATCTGAGGGCTTCCCAAACGCTCCAGGAGTATCCGACTGAAGAGCCAAATCTTGCTCGTTGACACCTGTTTTGGTGTATACATTTGGGATAGCACATTTGATAACTATCGTTTACTCTGCACACTTTCATTCTTTATTATTCGATGTATACCATGTACAACTACGACATATCAATAGCTAATTTGATTCAGTGCCCCCAATATGCTCTCCTAGTAAGCTACAACTTGTAGATGTGTCGAGTAAGATCTCTTAATATCCACCGACGGATAAGCCGCCGACATGCAGGACCAGAGGCTTAGCAGTGTATGTACGGAGTAACTACTAGCTAAAAAAGCACTTCTTGAGCTATTTAGCCTGCTGGTCGGTCTCTTGTTTAGCTGCCTGCATCTGTATCATGTAACTATATGCATCCGTGGAGCCAGGGAGCAGCCCCTGTCCGGCAAAACGGCGCCAGTAAGCTCTCCCCATGCAGCACGTACGAGATGCAGTGGCTTCTGTGGCTGCATCCCGACAGTCTTCTCTCTCTCCCTGGCCAGCAGCGAAGGATCTAGCCCGCCAGTCTCGCAGCTCTATCGTGATCTCCCGGTTACAGAGATGAAACCACGAACCAAGGAAGCATCCCCGCCAGCAAGTTCTGGCCCGGAGCAGCAGGATCCCTTTGTCGATGGCCAAGTTGGCCTGACTCGCTGTCTGCCAGTCGAGTACTCCGTAGTCGATGTATGTATGTATATAAGCTAGCGAAGTTGCTTGCTCTGCCGTGCGATGTCGAATTCTGTAGAGACCTGGCCAAGGGCAGCAACTTGCGGGCGATAAGGTTGAGGGAAGATCCGAATCTTGGAAGAAGACGACGGCCTGGGTTCTTTTGACTGTCTCGTAACATCTCCTTGCTTTCTCCTGCTCTTCGTCTCTTCTCCTTTTATTATATATATACTCTCCGTACCGACCCTGTCTTTGTCTGCTGTCGGCGATATAAAGCTAGTTAGTGAGACTCCGTGTCTCTGATTCTCGCCGTTTCGCCCTCGCACGGTTTTGGCATTTTGATACATAGACAAACGCCCGCAGCCACCCAGATGAGACGCAGAGCTTAGAACTGCCTGGTTTAAGGCCATCGAGAGACATCTGCAGGCCCGTCTTGGGCGGAATCACCAGCTACATATACACATCAAACATCGGATCTGAAGAAAAGCAAGGAAAGAAGAACATGGCGATCGTGACGGAGACGGAGGTCAGCCACAGCACCGCAGCAGCGCTCCAGGAAAAGACCAACACCGGGCTCAACGGACGCGGGAACTCGCTGCATGAGAAGGAGAAGCAGAATCAGCATCATCATCAGCAGCAGCACCAGCAGCACCAGCAGCATCAGCATCGTTCGGCCGGCCAGAAGCTGCGCAGCAAGTACCGCCATGTCGCGGCGTATCACTCCGAAGTGAAGCCATCATGTCTGAGCCGCGAGACCGAGAAGACCCCCAGCTTCCTGGGCTTCAGGAACCTGATGGTCATCGTGCTGATCGTGATGAACCTGCGGCTGGTAGTCGAGAACTTCATGAAGTATGGCGTCCTCATCTGCATCCGCTGCCACGACTACCGCAAGCAGGACCTGGTGCTGGGCGCGGTCCTCTACGCCCTTGTCCCCTGCCACCTGTTCGTGGCGTATCTCATCGAGCTGGCGGCCGCCCAGCTGGTGAAGGGGGCGATTGGACGTGTGAAGAGAGATGAGGCCTCCTCATGCACGAGCAAGGAGCTTTCGGCGCTGCAGACGACCTGGGCGTACGTTGCGTTTGCGCATACGGTCAACGCCAGCCTGTGTCTCCTGGTGACTACGTATGTGGTCTACTACTATATACATCACCCGGGCATCGGGACAGTGTGCCAGCTGCATGCTATCATCGTCTGGCTGAAGAACTGCTCGTATGCGTTTACCAATCGGGACCTTCGACATGCGGTGCTCAATCCGTCGCCGGACAATAGGCTGCCGGAGATATACATGTCTTGCCCGTACCCGCATAACGTCACGATATCAAACCTGTCTTACTTCTGGCTGGCGCCGACGCTGGTGTATCAGCCTGTATACCCGCGGACCGAGCGTGTGCGGTGGTCGTTTGTAGCCAAGCGGGTGCTGGAGCTCGTTGGGCTGGGGGTGTTTATCTGGATTATTTCGGCGCAATACGCGGCCCCCGTGCTGCGCAACTCGCTGGACAAAGTCGCCATGTTGGACTGGGTGTCTATCCTGGAGCGGATGATGAAGCTATCGACCATCTCGTTGGTGATCTGGCTAGCGGGATTCTTTGCCTTGTTCCAGTCCTTCCTGAACGCTTTGGCAGAAGTAATGCGGTTTGGAGACCGGGAGTTCTACAGCGAATGGTGGAATAGTCCCAGCGTGGGCTCGTACTGGCGCTCCTGGAACCGACCTGTGTACCATTTCATGAAGCGGCATATCTTCTCCCCGCTTGTTGGGCGAGGATGGAGTCCGTTTGCCGCCAGTCTTGTCGTCTTCACTTTCTCTGCCGTCTTGCATGAGGTGCTCGTCGGTATCCCAACGCACAACATCATTGGTAAGTTCATGGCCATCTATGGCTCTGTAAAAGTCAGCTGGAGTGCTAACTTGTACAGGCGTCGCTTTTGCCGGAATGATGCTGCAGCTCCCTCTGATAGCTGCCACGGTGCCCCTGGAGAAGATGAACGGCCAGGCCGGGAAGATAATAGGCAACTGTGTCTTCTGGCTCAGCTTCTGCCTCGTCGGCCAGCCGCTGGGGGCGTTGCTGTATTTCTTTGCCTGGCAGGCCAAGTACGGCAGTGTCAGCAAGCAGGTCTTGTCCCAGAGCCCATGAAAAAGCCGTCGCTTTCAACCGTCGCTGTAGGTAGCTGCAATAACATACCCTTCTCTTCTCCCTTCATCCAGCCATAAAACCCGAGAAACGCCAATCTGTCCTCAAGCAATGTAGATGTAAATAAACAGATCGTCTCCCTGGCATTCCCTGCTTCGTCCGCTGTTTCGTCTGAAGGCTCGGCTGGATGGCTGCGCCGGCTCGGTTGGTCTAATCATCCCGGATCCCGCGTCAGCGCAAAGGGGAAAGGAGTGCGAAAAGGAGAGCTCGAAGCTTCCATGTCGTATGCTCTGCAGCCTGGAGGATGAGCTGAAGGTCCGGAGCTGTATAAATATCTAAATCTCGTCGTAGTTGAATCTCCATCTTCACGTTGCGTCATAACTAACTAGTTGACTAAATACCGGTTATCATCAACACACGAATAATACCAACTGTACAACTGCAACTACACCAGCTACACCAACTACAACCACCTCAGTCTATCCTAATCAATTGATTCAAGATGATGATCCCAGTCCCAGACGGTTACGGGTGAGTTGGCTGCCGTGACACCTGCAGGGAGAGCACAGCTAACTTGACATCTGCCCGCCAGCAACATCATCGCCGTCGCCCTCGGCGCCATCCCAGTTCTCGGCTTCGTCCACGGCATCATCACTGGCATCAAGCGCAGAGCTGCCGGCATCCCCTATCCCCACAGCTATGCCAGTATCGAACAATGCAAGGCCGACGTGAGTCTTCCCTTAATGCGAGTGTGCACAAACTGTACAACTCGATTCAACTGCTAACCAATTGGCCTCCCCCACAGCCCAAGGCCGATGCGTTCAACTGCGCCCAGCGAGCCCACACGAACTACCTTGAGAACGCACCACAGACGATGCTGCTCACTCTCGTTGCTGGACTCAAGTATCCTGCCGCCACGACGTTGATCGGAGCTACATGGGTGGTGATGCGCGTGCTGTTCTTGTACGGATATGTCTACTCCGGCCAGGCTGCGGGAGCCGGACGGAAGTACGGTGGCGGCTTCTGGTTCGCTCAGATGGCGCTCTGGGGCATGACGGTGTTTGGCGTCGCATTGCCCATGATGCAAGCTCCTGCTTCCCCGTTCTAGCCTACGATTATGTATGATATTCTGCCTTCTTTCTTTCTTTATAGTTATAAGGTATAAATGAAGCTATTGGTGGGATCTTAAGCATGAACTTTTTTCTTTCTTTCTTTCGTTTTAATTATCTGGATATACGCTTGAGGTATGCACTCCAGCCTGCAGATTGGTATTGCTTTATGGCCTCCACAGGGTCAGGAGCAGCATAGATACCTCTCCCCGAGATGATAAAGTCCGCTCCTCTGCCCACAGCCGACTCGGGAGTCTGATACTGCTGGCCTAACTGGTCACCCTTCGAGGCAAGATTGACACCCGTGGTGAATAGCACAAAGTCTTCATCGGCCTTGCGCTCAGTCTCTGTCTCGATATCGCCCAGGGACCGCGTAGCCACGAACCCCATGACGAACCCAGCATGTCTCCTGGCCATCTCAACCGATAGCTTCGTATACTCACCCGTCGCCAACGAGCCCTTGGAAGTCATCTCCGCGAGAATCAACAGTCCCCTCTCGCCAGCGGGGTAAGGGAATACGCCCGAGGAAGATATCTGCGCTAGAGCGTCGACAATGCCCGACCCCGCTAGCACGGCACAGTTGACGATATGCGCCCATTCGGAGATGCGTAGGCTGCCGCCATGGTACTGCATCTGGACTGTGTGGCCTATATCGACGAACTTTCTGTCCTCGAAGATGAGGAAGTTGTGTTTCTGAGCGGCGGCCTTGAGGCCCTCGACTGTCTGCGGGGAGAAATCAGTTATGATGTCGATGTGTGTCTTGAGCACGACCATGTGCGGTCCGAGGCCTGTCTTGTGTCCTTATTGTCAGCTATTGCTTCTTCTTCTTCTTCTTCTTCTCTTCATAAAGTATCAAGACTCACGCTCGGCCAGGTCTAGCAATGCGCTCGTGGTGGTGACATCTGCGGAGACGACGACGTTGGACTGTTTCTGCTCTGCTATCTCAAACAGCCGCCGCACAAGGGGGTTCGGGTGTGTCTTTGCACGGTCCCCGTACGAGACCTGAGTTCTCGACGCCATCGTGCCTTTGTCGTTTGTCCCTCGAGAGCCCGGCTGGACCTGGAAGTAGATATTTAGATGTCCCGCACGGGGCAAGGCGTCGTCGATATAGCCAGTGCCAAGACTAATGACGATTAAGCTTATTTGTTACTGCTGTCTTATTGGTCAATTCTTTTATCACATAACGTGATCTGTGTAACTTCAGCTATTCATCTGACTAAGACATTTTCCTTGGTTCTCCTATCTCGCACACGAAAAAAAAAGTAGCCTCTTTCTTTGAACTACAAAAAGATGAAACGATGAGCTGTCGAGCTGGCATTAACATCGATCAAATGATACGTAATAAGTGGTAGACACCAGGAGAAATATTGCTGCACTCTGATGGCTGGTCACTATGAGCAACCCCCTGTATCTCTGCTGGCAAGAATGGCCTTGTGGTCTAGTGGTATGATTCTCGCTTTGGGACACCAAAGATGCGAGAGGCCCCGCGTTCGAGTCGCGGCAGGGCCCCGCTCTTTTTTTTTTTTCTTTCTTTTTTTTCTTTTCTTTCGCTCTATGGTATAGATATACTTCATCTCACTGTTATGGTGATATTTCTTTTTACATCCTATATTGTTGTAGGAAGCAACGTTGATGGTATCTGAAGGAAGAACTATCTCGCTGGTTGTTGGTGCAGGGGAACTATTTAGGACACAAGAGCAGAGGGATGTCTATTCATTTGTACCGGTAGTTAATAGTTAATAAAGTGTATCAAATAGAATCATGGTCATCATTCCAGTAAAGTAATGATTCAAGGTAATTAAACAACAGGAAGCTGCTGTACAATGCCATTCTTCTTTTCGGCCACGTATAGCTGTTGGTTACCTGGTGCTGTTGCAAAATACAGACAATCCCTCATCCCTCTGCCGGACAGCCTAGTGTTACCTTCAGCTGACGGAACAACGACAGATTCCTCGAGAATCCAATCTGAAATAGGATTACGTTGCGAATCAAGTAGCTGGATCTCAACGTAGACAACTTGCCGTAAAACAATCCCATTAGCTGTCATTGCTTGAGTTTGAGGCCCAAAACCCAGGTACGTTGGAGCGATGCCTAACGCGATTAGGTCTGTGTCGAAGACTGTCAACGCATCGCTGCCTGTATCATTGAGCATGGTGATGTCGAGGAACAGGGGAAGGGACAATGAAAAGGCCGGAATTGCTCTCATTCGGGCAAGCATCTAAACAGCCCGGACAGGATGTATTAATAAAAGGCATTTCTAATCAAACAAATGTTAACTGGAATTCTCGAAATGCGAACCTGATGTCCTGATCCGCCCGGGAAGAGATCATACGCAACACGGTGGGCAAATTGCTGAACCCCATGCTAAAAGAAAGTCCAGAAATGTTAGCCAGCTGGCCTCTCTAATGCTGGACTGCAGCTGATGCCGAGCTTACAGTCTCAGGGACGGCTTCAGCTGGCGTAGACGATGACGCTGGCTCGGTGGCGGGAATTGCAGTCTGTGCTGAGAGTTGTTGGAGATAGCCCTGGATGGAAAATGGGTAAGCAGAGAACAGGGGATAAACCAGCTTCGGGGAATGATAAAGTGAAAGTACCTCCATCCAGAACGGGCGGGAGAAATCAAGCCTTTGAAGATTGATGACCTGTCCACCCTGGATGCAGACGCGCGGTATAGGCTGCATCTTCCCACCGTAGAGGTCGATTGCTACTTGCACATTTATCTTCTGCTCATCGCTTGTTTCAGGATTGTCAATTATCGCCTTGAGCTCAGCGATACGGCCTGGTATGTTCCACTACTTTTGGTTAGGGCAACCCTTGTAGCTATAGGGAGTAAACGGAGAGGGACTGGAGAGGTGAGATCACAGTCCTACATACTGGGTAAGAAGCTGGAGCTATTGGAGCAGTGGACATGACGGCTAAGGACAAGTAACTTCTCTATAGGACCACCTGGAGAGCACAGCGCCACTTGTTAGATAGAACGTAGAGCTATTGAGAAGCATGGAACTTACCTTGCCCAATATCTCGGCGTAGAAGAAGTAGAGGAGAAGATGGGTCTTCAACTGACTTGCCCACTGTGGATAACTAATGGGTAACTAGTTAACTAGTTAGCCAAGTCTAGATTAGAGAAGGCACCAACACGGCCACGTAGGTGGACAGAGAAGACAACGCGCACAGGAAGAAGTAGAGTAGGAGTTATGGCGGCAGAAGGAAACTGATCAAGCAGGCCTGAAAACGCAGTTAGTTGAAGATGTTGAAGATGGATGTTGAGGATGAAGAGGAAGAAGAGGAAGAAGAGGCGCGGGGGCAGGGGCGGGGGTTTTATAGCTTGGAGAGAGCAGCGGCAAACAGAGCAAACAATTCCTAAAGAGGAAATAAAACTAGTCTAAATAGAAACAACAACACAGTGGACGCTTTGTTGAAGAGCGGCACCGTATCCTTCTAGCTCTAGCTATAGCTTGTCCAAGGATGGAGCTTTTAGTGACAGGGAGCTACTGGATAATCCCATCCTTGAAAACTATTATACTACCAGTGTCGTTGAGCATGGAAATGTCGAGAAACGTGAAGGGCCTGATAGAATATAGAATATCCAATTGTCAAAGTCTGCCACTATACACCAAAAGGAGTGAGCCCACTCTAATGGTAGGCAGAGCTGAAGTTTGACACTAATTCAAGCGCGATAGACATAGCACCAATTGTAGCTATAAAATATACAATAGCATAAAAATAAAACAAAGTATATTAAAATCGATATTGAAATAATTCAAGTACCATCAGGGAGTTTACAACCCGATGTCCTGCGTTAGACCGTGGAAGAGATTGTACGTTGTCCTGCTAGCCAAGCTGCTGACCCACAGGCACAAGGAGGGCCCAGGTAACCAGTTGACCAAATTAAGAGTGATCCCCCACTGGTGATCGTTAGGTTGAGCTGGTTCAGCAGCGGGAATAACAGTATGTGCTGATAGCTGCTGGCCGTAACCCTGCATGGGAAACAGTAAGTATGGGTATGATGCAGAGTCTATGTATAGAAAAAGGAGAAAGTACCTCCATCCAGAACGGGAGGGAGAAATCAAGGTCTTGAAGGCAAATAACCTTTCCACCCTGGATGCAGACCCGTGGTATAGGCTGTCCACTCTTATAATAAAGATCGATTGCTGTTTGTATATTTATCTTCTGCTCACTGCTGATTTCAGGATTATTAATCATCGCCTGGAGTTCGGCTACACGATCCCATATATTCCGCTGAGTTTGGTCAGGACACTGCGTATAGATAGTGGGCGAAGTGAGGCACATACTAGAGATGAAACCGTTGGAACAGGGGACATGGTTAAGGACGAGTAACTCCTCTACGTGAACCCCTAAGAACCCTAAGAGACATATTCGACTCGTCCTGGGAAACGTGATCCTTACCTTGCTGCGATATGTCACAGAAGAGGTGGATATTGAGCGGGGAGCAATTTATTGCTGTCTTTCGATGGCTTACCAACTAGGCATAGCAGAAGCAGAGCTCATCTGTTGGGCAATCCCCTGGACAGAACGATGGTAAGCAAGGTAGCTGATTATAGGGGTGCAGCGTATTAATAACTCGCCTACCTCTGCCCAAATAGTCTGTCTGGGGTCAACGTGCTTTGGGAGTACCACTTTGCCGTCCTGGATAACTATAGCAGTACGCAAACGGGCCTTGCTTTCCCCGGTATATGCCTAACTATAAACACCCGGATATTGATTTTCGGGCCCTCCTTTGTTTGTCTCAGGGTTATCGAGGACAGCTTGAAGATTAGAAATAGTTAACTATAGTTTTCAGCACCCCACTATATGGGGTTCAAGCATGCAGGCAGTAGGTTAAACCCAGGCCATCAGGACATGATATTGATAACTTAGTGACCTTAGATATACTAGGTAGAGTATATTTCTCTATAAAATAGAAGAGTAAAAGCTAGATTCTTATTTTTTCTAAAAAAAAATTCTAGAAAAAAAAGTTATTATTTTTTAAGTAATAATAGTTAAATATTTTATTTTTCTTTATAATAGAGAATTAGAAACTAGGACCCTCGCCATAGAATTTGCTGAACAGACTCGACTAGGATGGCCAGGCAGGATGAAGTTATATTTCTGATAAATGGTGATAAGGATGTT